TTATTTCATTAAATCCCTGTTATAGCTTAGTTCATATTATTATAATCACTTTTTAAAAAGATTAAAATCTTTAAAAATATGTTTTGATGTCTTAATCACCTCATTATGATTTTCGTTGCTTTCAAAAGTAGTTTGCAATTAACTCGGCAGTTCTTTAAAACTGAAATAGAATTAAATCGCCGTTTTATAATTAAGTCTCAGGAGTTTTAAATGTTTTCAAGACAAACATTTCCAGGTAAAATCCTTTAACAGGGATAGTGCTATTTCATTATCGGTGAAATATTCCAATTCTAATTAATTACCTGAGATGTGTATTGAATAATTTCCTTTCATCAAAACAGAAAAAAGAATTGCAACCCTGAAATGTTCCAAGTAAATATTCTATTGCTTTATATTCAAATGTTTATTTTTAAAGAAATATAAAAATCCAAGCTTTGCAATATTCAGAATGTAATACTAAACTCTGAATGTATTTTCTCCGCTGAAATGTTGGAATGGTTCGGAAGGATTTACTATATTTTTAGGAGCCCTGTCTTTTAATGCAACTTGAAGAGAAAACAGATGGGTTCTTTTCAAAAAATATTCAATCATTATTCATCTAGCAAGATTTTTATTTGCTTAAACCATTTTTTTCTTCCTTCCTTTTTATGATAGATAATAATGAGCGCAATGCATGATCGGGTTTCCAGCTGTATTTTTTTGCCATTGATAAACAACGGGACAAAAAGAGATCTGCCGAACTTTTCTGTGGTACTGCTAGAGTTTGGGACTTCGAATTAATCACGAACTGGAAAATAATGTATTCTGAATGGATCTATTCTAAAAAAAAAGAAATGGCAAACCTGGAAAGACGCCAGACATCCAACTTTTTGGACGAACTTCTATTTTAGCTGTTTTGTAATAAATGATATGCGTTCCTTTTGTTGTATTACAACATTTGCGTAACCATTGTTCTTCCGACCCATATTTCTCGCAAATTTAGAAAGGACTAGATATGTGAGCAAAGTTATCATTTTTTTATTATGAGATTCTTCTATCTGACATTGTTTACCGAAGTTATGGATGGAAATATTCGTTCACTCATTAACAATCAAGGAAAACAGATGCATAATCAGAGATTGCATACTATTTTTTTTTATGAGTGCCGTGCATGCATGGCATACCATCGTCATTTCTAAAGAATATGTGAACAAACTTTACTTAAACTAAGAAAAAGATCTTTCCATAAGCTGTATTGATACAGTATTTTCATTGTTTTATGGTAAGCCTTGAATAAATTTTCTTGCATTATATTTGTTTCAGTATATATATAATGCAGTAATGCTTTCTTTGTACTTTAAAAAATATATAATGTGTCTCATTAATTAAGAAAATAAAGAAAAAAACATTTCTTTATTTCCTGAAAATTTATATTTTCTACTTTTAACTAATTAAGTATTTGATAAATTTATATATAGATCTTTTACGCAATAAGTAACAATCTAAACCCACTTTTGTTCTTTTTTGACAAGAAACACTCGCTTTTTATTTTACAAGAAGAAAAGTAGATTTGGAAATGCTTGTAATATCCAAAATTTGAACAAATATTGTTTTCTTTGGCTAGATTTCCAAGGTATTTTGTTTTCTTGAAAAAATTCTTGTACTAAAAAAATGCATGAATGGAAATGATCGTACTGGAAAAATGCAAATTTGCTCAATGAACGTTAAAAACATGATGATACTTTCTTATATTCAGTCAGAAATCCAATATAAATGCTACTGAGGAAAACTACAATTTGGATTTGAAATACATGCAGTAACGAAATGTAACCAAGTCTTTAGTAGATACGTTACTCAGTGTTTTAAAATAAACTATTCTGCATTTAATAAGGAAAAAATTACTTGCTTCTCTGCTTAGTAAGAAAGCAACTCAGAATTTTGTTTTAAAATTTAAAATCAAGGATTTCCTCCAAAAAAATTTCTCCATTTTTTCAGCCCTGATTTTCTTGAGTAAATTGTGAGATAGAATAAGTTTATAAATGTACTTCTCGTACACACATACCAAGTTATATATATACGCTTATTAAAATAAGAAATTCTACATTCACTACTGAATATAATATATAAATATCTTATATTTAGCTTATACTCAAAAACTTTGTTAAAAAATACAGTTTTTATTTTAAAAAAATATAATTAATTTTAGAAAAAAATTTTGGAAGAAAAGGAATTCTTTATATAAAAATTAGAGTGCAAATGATTTCCTTTGAAGTTGAAATATATATAAATGTATAATATTAAAACATTCTATATTATTCTTTTCAATTATTAATATCACTATAATTTTTCTTATTATGCATGGAAAATTCTAGAACATTAGTGAAATTCATCACATGAATTTCTTTTAAAAATTAAACTGCCCAATATGTGAATGTATTATTTGCCATGTTATAACCAAAAGAACTCCTCAAAATTATGGATAAGCTCCTTTCAAGTTTTTTATAAGTTGTATTTTTTCATGAAATAAAAATATCATTAAAATTTATGAAAAAAATTATTTCTTGTTTTAAACTTTTCTTAATACATAATGAAAACATGAAAAAATTACGATTTTATTGAAAATAATTTGTTTTTTGTTTGAAATTTTCAATGATTGTTGTACTTGTAGTGTTACTTCCTTAACTGATGTTTGAATATCTAAAAGTACAACGCTTTTTTGAAAACAGAGCTATTTAATATTTCTCAACTGCCTGTTGCTCTTTGATTAAATTCCGATTATTGCAATTTGCATAATTTTACTTAGTTAATGGCTGTCTTCTTATTTTCAAAAGGAATATAGATTTTTTTTACCGTTCTAAACGTAATTAAATCATCAATTAAAAAATCATTTCTTGCTCAAGTTACCCGAAATTTTTATACTTATGTACATTTTTGCTCTGTGATACTTTTAAATATTATGATCAAAATCGTATGCAATATTTGGGTTCATCCTTTCAGTAAAATAAATATATTTCAGTCAGATTCATTTAATTTTCTAAGATACTGCTATTAATGAAAAAATATATTTTAATTATATTTTTTATTGTCAACTGTATCAGTAGATTTTGTAATCAATTGTACAATATAACGAACAATACAGTTCGATTCTTCATCTTAGTACAAGAATCGTTATATTGTGAACTGTTTACACATCCTTAAGGTGGTCAGTCTGTGGTTACCCACAATCCCACATGCCCAGCCAATCTAACTTAAACGAGATTAATTGTGCTTTGTTCGTTCCCGAAAACTTGGTTACTCATTAAAGGTCCAGGGCTTTCGTGTTTCACTTGATTCAAGAGTGACGCGACCTATCAATAAGTTTTGTGTTGAGATATCGATTTTCAGGAACAAATTGGTAGCTAACACGGCATTTCCTTATAACAAGGCTCTCAAAGTTCGGCCGAAGAACTCGTGTTGCATCCAGAGTGAAGCAGGGTATCTTCGAAATAATGGTCTTCAATTTCGTGATTATCACGCTCCGTTCCTTCATCTGAATATAGTCTTGAACGGCGAGTCGGAAAGCCCTAAATGAAGGGTCTCTGGAGCCGACCGCTTACTATGCTAATGATCTGTCCAGCTGTTTATCAAAGTCGGCGGATAATTAATTATGCCTGCCGCAGGGATGACGTAAAATTGCATTTGTTAGAGTGGTTCAGGCCCTTTTCCTTTGATATCGATGGCGGATGGACAAAGGGTTCACACGCAGATCAAAGTGAAGATGCTAAAAACCCATTTGCGTGGTGTTAAAGGGCCTTGTCGAGTCTGCTTGGGAGGGTCGATTTTCAATTACTTTCTTCGCATTGTTTTCCTGGGCAGCTGATTCGGAATTTATTGCTAATAGGAATAATATATTTGCTAGGGAGATTTCCACGCGTTTGAAAGCTGGAGTTGGAACTTTCATTATTCAAATACGAAGTGCTTTCATCGCCTTATAAATGCTTTATGGCAAAGGAGGAGGAATAATTTCTTTTAAGACAAACCTATTATTAACTTCTCTTCGCTAAACTTTTTAAAGGTAATGCTTAATAATTTCAATGATTAAGTTAATATAAGTCGTGTTAAATAAAATTCCCTCACATAAAATTATTTTAACCGACAACGTAGGGATATTTTTAATGCAAGTTAAACTCGGAAGAACATAACTAAACATAACTGTTTTAACTTAATCGTATTTTTCGATGTAATCTTTTTGTGACTGTTGTATTGTAGGGGGCTTTTTTTATTCAAATACTTGTATCAAAAAGTAAATTTGAAGTAAGGGAGTTTTCATGTTACACAAAAATAAAATGAAAAATTTTAGAACAAAGATAGAAAGAAGTAGACAAGGAAACATTTGATTGAAGAATCTGTGACGCTTTTTGGGAGACGCACGTCCTACGAAGTGAAGACAAAATTGAAGCTCTATTTGTTATATTTCAATACGTGTTAATAGACATACTTATATTTCAATGTATTTACGGTTTTACTTTTTACCTTAATTTTGTAGCATATTCCAATGTTGTTTCGATTCAACGTGTGATTAGATCGTAGGAAAACATCCTACATTTTGCAAAATCATGGGTAAATTTTACTCAATATCTACTGTATATTTTGTAATTTTCAGGTCCCCACTTCCCGAATTTTCCATTTTGCATTTACGTTGTACTAGTGAAAGTATATTAGTATAGAATATGATGTTACAATAACTAAAAATTTCATAAAAACTGGTAATAGAAACTTTTTCAATTCCTACTATTAGTTCACACTCTCCCTATATATATATATATATATATCTTGTTCAAATTTTCAATCGTTAATAAAATACTTTCTATTCATCCATTCATGTTCAAATACATTTTTTTAAACTTGTAGTGAATGCCACTTGATGTTAATACAGGTTTTTTCAAATATTAATTCATTAGTTAAATTTAATTAATGGATAAATAGTAAAAAACAAAAATACCAGTCCAACACCGTATATAAAAATGAAAATAGCTCGTTGTGTCCCTGTAGCGCAATGGATTGCGCGTAGGACTTCTAATCCAAAGGACATGGATTCGATTCCCACCTGGGATGGCCTAATTTCTGAGAATGTGATTTAGGAATGAATAAATAGTAACAAACAAAAATAACAGTCCAACGCCATATATAGAAAGGAAAATCGCTTTCTATTTTGTCACTTAATATTATTATTCTATCATGTGTATACATGTTTATATTAATTGTAATTATTTAATAAAAAGCAACTCTAAAACAAAATTTTTCTATGTTGACCTAAGTAGGAATTGACTTTAATTTTTTTTTATATTGCTTGTTTTTTTGCAAGTCTATAGTGTAAGAACTTTTATTTACGAAACATTTTTTTTTAACTTCTTTCTTTATACTCCTATACCACCCCGGCCGCCCAATTAATCAAGATATAATATATCTGAAAAACAATATCTGTATGTATGCTGAGATTTTCCCATGATTCTCTGAGATAAAAATGCATGTTTGGAAAAGATTTTTTGAATGTGACAATGTTGCCTGATGGAGTAATGGACCTGGGCTCCTCCGGCGAAAAGCCTGCAATAAAATCTGCTAGGTGTGTGAATCTGCTCCCATAAGTGTGAATCAATTTGAAAGCCAATTTGAATGGGATCTTTTAGAACTTTAAAGAGTAGCTGGCCTTGTAATTAGTATCGACACTTGTCCCAAGTCTACGTTTGTACCTAACAAGTGCATATGTCAATATTACATTTTGTGAGAACTACGTGAATGTGTCATTTAATATAAGAAAGAAAGAGACTTTCTGCTGTTATAAAATATGTTACCCAAACGGGGAGAGAGATGATATGGGTTTTTTATAGTAAAAGGGGGATAAAAAATCTCTTATACTTTTTTTACTAGAAAAAAATCTTTGAGGACTGCTTAGTCGGCTAGTGACTAAATGATAGCATTCCTACTGAAAACGCTGAAAACTTTCATCGATCACTTTAAATATGAATTTAGTTTTTTTTAGGTTCCTTTTTACATTTAAAATATAATTATTATTCACAAATATATTAATATATTTATTTTAATAGTTACATATCATTGCTTTATACTTTTGTTGCTTTATAAATTAAGTTATTAGTTGCTTCAAAACTCATATATTGATAATTCAACTAAACATTTATCTGCTAGGTTTTCAAAAAGCAAGAGTTTAGTAAATTAACTAAAAAATAAGAACTCATTGTCTCTATTTAACATTTTTACTTAACACTAGATGATCATTTCAGCATGGGATAATTTTTAAAAAATAAGAATTCAAGAAAATTGGTTTCAAATTTTATAAAAGGAAACTTATTTGAATTTCAAAGTACTTTTTTCTTAAAATTAAAATTTTAATTATACTTAATTGAAAGCATTGCATGGATTGTTAGGTTAGTGTGCCCATTTCTGTAAAAAACGTGCTAAAACTATCCCATAGTAAAAATTTTATTTAAAGAAAAATTGCTTTCTATTTAAAGATAATTGTTCATCGATAAAATTTCGGGGAAAATAATTGTAAACAATCCCAAGTTCAATAATTCAAGATCCTTCAATTCTCTGGTGTTTAGCTTACGGTGAATCAATGTACAAGTAAATGGTCTTAAGCAAACCAATTCTCTACTCATATCTCATTTTCATTTAAGTAATATTTTGAAGCCATCTGAGATTTCAAAACGTGGCAAATCATTAACTCTTCAGATTCATTCAGCTATATCAAGTAGAAAAGTGTTCACCGAATTATCTGACAGAATCGATAGAGTACTCGAGTTTTCTCCAGGGCACCATCTAATTTTCTCCCTAATCCATTTTTCTCTCCCTACAGATGGATAGATATAAGCACCTTGCTCAGACGACGCTAATTGAAACTATTGCTTTTGTAACACGCCAACTCAAACTTCTGTTCTTTGAAGCATCTCGCTTTCGAAGAACCAACAGCAGAATCTGTTGTATGTGGAACTTAGATGCGAAATTAATAGTTGCACAAGTAACTTATTACAGTTAAGGAAGCTTTCAATTAGCCAAGAAGCTTGTTAATAAACAGAGATTTTAATAAACCTGCAAATGATAAATTGGATAGGATTTTGATGGATTCGTAGTTATTGGAACATTGAAGATCTAGACTCCATTATTTGCAGTTTCATTGGCATTAAAAGTTTGATATATGTTTTAGATTCCAACAATGTTGACAGCAATCGATATTTTAGCTAAAAGTCAAGTTTAAACATAGCTTTAAAATTATATAATAACAATTTATATGAATATATTTTTGTAAGGATGGTTAATATTTTGCATCGTATAAATGGAGTACACCCGCCTCTACTTTCGTGTAGTCTTTTTTACACGATTTTGAAATAAAATGGTTTTAAATATAGCCGCTTTCTTTTCATACAAGGATAATTTACTTTATCACTATTTAAAATCACTTTGTTACGATCGGTTGTTAAGATTACCGGTCAGTTTGTCAGTTTTTTTTCAGACTTTGGAAATCCTTAAGAGAAATGCTATTTTAAAATAAAATAATATAAAAAAATAGTTTTTAAGTCAATTCCTACTTAGATCAACAACGAAAAATTTTATTTTAGCTACTTTTTATTAAATAGTTATAATTAATATAAATATATATATACATAAGGCAGAATCACAATATTAAGTGGTAATTAGTTTTTTTAATTGTCATTAAAATATCGTATTGTCCTTTTAATTTTAGTCCAACTGAATGCTTTAACACGTGAGAAAAGAAACATTTTCACGTTTTGACACGTCGCCAAAATGGTCGCTAAGTCGCCAACGTGGCTGTATTTATAATTTTTTAAATAATTAGTTTTAATTAATTAATTTTTATTAATTATAATTAAATTATTGTATTGTCATCCAAAATGATCCTGTATATAAAATTTCAGCTCAATTCAGCGCTTTAAAATGTATTTTATTAACGATTGAAAATTCCACCTAGATAAATAAATACACAAATACATAAATAAATAAATATATAGACAGTGCAAGCTTATAGTAGGAATTGAAAAATAAACAGATTTTCTAATAAAAAAATAAATACCACAGAATATTTAACAAGTATTTCATCTCCTCAAAACGTCAATATCAGATAAAAATCTTCACTGAATTTGGTGAATGTAATACATCTTTCTATTGAAGACAACTAATTTGATTCATCTGGACATAAGAAAATGTGCTTTTACTATCAAGAAGTAGCGATGAACAATAATATCCTTTCTAATACTTTTTATTTAAGTTTTTATTCTTTCTTATAATAATGATTATATTTTCCTAATTTTAGTTCAATTATTCATTGAAAAATGTAAGAATTTATTATTAATATTAAATGTATAAATATGCTATATTAAATGTATGAATTTCATGAACTCTTTAATGTTAAATGTATAAATTTTATATATAAATGCAAATTCATACGTCTAAGACCTTATATAGTTGAGTTTTTACCTCTTATTGCACAGTTTTTTCAATTTAAATAAATTTCTTTATTTAATTTTACACGTTTTTTTGAATGACGTGGAATTCATTCCCCTTTTTACTGTATGAAAAATATCTTTTTTTGTTCAACTTTATCACTATATTTTGAAGAACATATCCACCGTTTAAAAGAAGAGCTACATGTATTTCAAGCACATCTTGAAGCATGCTTTTGAGCAGCACAGTATTCACATCTATCTTCCAATAATTTCTAAAAGATTACTATAAATGAAAAAAAAATATTTCTTTTTTTTTAACATTTAAAGTTGATGCTAAAAAGAACAAGATTTATTTAGTTTTTGAAAATAACAAAGGTTCTCAAATTCTTCTAAAAACCTGAGATTATTTCTTATTATATTAGTTGTTAAGCTTATAATACAACTGAAACTATATCTTCTCCATTCTTTTTTGCGACTAGAGTATTGAACCGACCGGAATTTCAAGTACTTGATCTGAATTTTTTTTTTTTTTTTTTTTTTTTTTTGTTCTGAAAAAAAAAATTCCTAGTATATAACGCGAGCAAAAATGTAATCTTAATATTCACTTCTAATAATAATAATACTCGTTATAAATAAAGACTAATAATAGTACTCGCAAATATTTCCAGTTTTTATTTAAGTACTATCAAAACATTGTTAAAAATGTTGAAATAATTTGTTAAACATTAAATCTCGTTTATTTGTAATATATAAAATTGTTATTTATTTTTATTAAATATTTTTTTGGATTAGTATACTTTTTTTAACATATGAATTCATGGACCACAGGTAATCATCTTTTAAGGTTAAGCAATTTAATGTTTGCTTATTGAATTGATCTTTAAAAATTTATGATACTGTTTTAAATATATATATATATATATATATAATGTGAGGGTAAAAAAATTGCGTTAAAAAACAAATATACGATAAAATTACATTTAAAAATTTCAGCTTTTTATATCAAGTTTTTTAAAAACTTCTTTAAATATTCATTAACTTAAGAAAATCTCTTTTAACCACACACACACAAAGATTGTCAGAATACAAGCAAAAAGAATTTCAAAAAGAAAATAATGAGTTTTTTTAATTCTTTACATCTCATCGGTTGGTACTTATAAAAGTATTTACCTTAAGCGTAGGCCATCTATAGCAGGGGCGAGCAAAATTTTCCAGGGGGTATGGGCTATTTCTAATTTTTTCAACGAGTGCGTTCACCCAATAGCGTAGGTGTGGTGAGCTGAGAAAAAGGTCAACAATATTTATTATAACTTCATAATAAATACGTAATATGTGCTTACCTACATAACTACTGCAAAAAAATTGACTCTTTTAAGACAGCGTTTAAAGCAAAACGCACGATGCAAACATAATAATAATAGCCACAAATATAATAATATCAACTGATGCATTTCTTATCAAACAATTCAAAATACATTAAAAAATAAAACATTTTCGTCTAAATTTAATTCTCGTAGTTATAGTCAGTAGACGACTTTTAGTCTACATACTGTCAGCCAATCTTGAATATTTTCGTATATAATTACTAACTGCTAATCTACCGACGGTCACCCCAAAATGTCTTGGTGGTACACC